TCCGATGTTTTGTAAACAAAGCTACTACGAAAGGCAGTATTTAAACTGCTGGATAATTCCTGTAAGAAAAACATAAAAGAATATACTAAACATGTAGAAGACAAACAGGCTTCAAAAACTGGGGTAATTTCCAACTATTTACGTTGGTTGTATAAAAGTAGAAAGAAAGAGCTTGAGACTATTTTTGTTTGAGGATAAATTACTGTATCACAGCCACCTGGGAAATACCAAAGGCAAAATCTACAAATTCATATACTTAAAGTGCTGCCAAAGTCTTACTAAGTAACCTGTTGTACAATAACCCATCTCCAGCAACCTTCACACGCTTGCATGGGTGTAACACCTTCCATCCTTCCAATGCTTTGGTAACAGCATTTAATATTTTTTTATTTCTCTGAGCCCATATGGCCCTGATCGAAGGATTTATCCTTCTTGCAATTCATGTCATCCTACTGTACCGACAGTACAGCTTTCCTCTTCAGCAGCACAGGGCTTTGAATGTCCAGTGATCACCTTGTGTCATTCTGCAGTGATTGTTAGACTACGGAGATTTATACCCAGGAAGCCTCTGAGCTTTTCTTCAGTGGGGAGGTCTTAGGAACGGACTAGGAAAACACATAAATGCTTTTGAAGTAGCTACTTCTGCATGCAGATAAATATAGGAAATATCTTCAAATTCCTTCAGTCCTATTTTCTAAAACTACCCTTAACAATAACTGTAGTTAATTCCTCAGTGTTTAAAATACTAGAAAAAGATCCTTCTTTAAATAATCTAATGTCTAAAAGACTAAGAAATATGTATTGAAAACATACACATTGAACAAGGACTGTATGGAAACATGTAGTTGCGTGATATCAGCATTTCTCACAAAACACCCATTGCCGTTTTCAGCATGGAATAACAACAGAAAAAAACTCAGGAAGCTAGTAACACTGTACACCTGTCAACCTTATATGAAAAAGTAAAAAGAGGAGGAGAGATGGCAGTAGAGTGAAAATGGGAGTGATGTGTGAGGGCCTGTAAAGTTGAAGATGAAAAAAATAAGGCAGACCTAAATGTCTACAGGGACACATGGACTGTAGGGAGAGTGTTTCTTAGTATTGCAATAGCTTGGGGCAGGGAGGTGGAAAACGAATTTTGTAAAGATTTCTTTTTCACCTTCTGAGAGAGGTGAAGTGGAAGAGAGGAAGTTAAAGATGTGATAACATAGGAACAAAAATCGCTAATAATCTGAACTAGAATAAATTTCATTAAGGTCGCACTCACATACAACTGCTGTATTCAGTAATGTGAGCATTGTTATCTGGAAACAGCTGTGCAGTATCTCCTGAAGCTGCTGCACCTCAGCCACTAGGTCCAGTGAGAGTTGAGCAGACATCACAAACTACATCAAAATCCAGGGTCAGTAATATTACTTTAGCTTTCTTATAGTGAAACAGTCTAATATAGTAAAATAGCAAAACAGAGTAAAACCAGTATAATATAATAAAGTGATAACAGATATAATGAGGTGCAATCCAATGAAAAATTTCATCAGAAATAAATCCCTCTTTTTCCCTCAATTGTTTCGAAATTTGAAAAATAACTGAAACAGATTTATAGTTTGTGAAGAAAAAGTGCTTCTGTTACTCTCTCATATTAAAACTGTTCATGCTTATAAGCCTTTGAGGGAAGTTTTCAATAGTAGTATATTTTACCAATTCAAGACTGTCATTCATAGAAAAATTATTGGAAAAAAATTCTTCCAACCCCAGGAAATTTTAAAATAATCAGGTATTCTGAAGGCCTTGCTCATTTACTCAACTCTTCCATAGGCCTACTACTTTCTTCGCTACTTACCTCATGAGTAACTAGAGCTTTCAGTGTTGTCACATCAATTAAAAGCTGAAGAAAATCAGTGAAGCAAAACTAAGATTTTAAAATGAGTATCACACATCATTCATACACTACAGAAGGTAATGCGCTGTAGTAGGTAACGTTTGCTCTGGTTCTTTCCTTTCAACCCTTTGGAATGTGAAAATAGCTATTCAGTAACAGAACAATAGAAATGCTATTTTAACTTCCACAGTGATATTGAACCATGGGTACAGAACGTAACTCAGCTATGCAATGTGTATACACCTGTGTGAGACACGCAGTCTTTCACAACTCTGAACATCATCCTCACAAGGCAGCTGAGACATACAGTCATAGAAATAATTACTAGGAAAGATAAAAAAGATTGGATGCTCCTTTGATGTTAGTTTTCATCTGCAAATACAGGTTTCAGCTCTTTTCAAACAGTTCATTCCTCACAATAAGCCTGTACAATAACCTTGTGCAATATAATTCAGCATTTAGTGTTATTATTTTGCTTATGTTTACCAATATTTTCCCTCAGGTAAAAATCTAGACCTACTGGAACCATGTATCTTTACATAAAGCAGAGAAGGTAATCCAAAAGGCTATTCTTCTTTGGAGCTTTCAACATGAAGAACTGTACTGTTCCTTTTTTTTTTTATTTTATTAAAATCATTCCACAGGGAAAATATAATAATGAAATAGATAGAAGATGACAAGACAGAGAATTTTATTTTACATAGATAAAATAAAACTCCAAATACTGGCTATATTCAGCTATCAAAACAATGCACATGAAAGTTGTGTTACATACATCCACTTTCCAGTCAGCAAAGATCTTATAGTCAACTATCTCTGCTCCTCGTAGTACAATTATTACTGTCTATATCAGAAATACTCTTGATACAGGCATATAAACTTCTGCTTTAAAAGCCTTGTAAAGTGTTGCCTATAAAGGCAAATCTGTGCACGCTTCTAGTTTATGTTGCTTTCCATATGCAAGTTTTCTAACATATCTCCAAGTGCCAGCCAAACATAAGTTGACCATGTCTGTTTATACAATCTCTTCTCTACCTTAAGAAGGCAAAATATTTAGGTCTTGAGCAGAAACGGAAATTGTCCTTATGATCTACATGCCAATTATGCACACAAATTGCACTACCACAATAATTTGTTTCATTTGTGTGTTAGTGATATGTGAATTCTTTCTCCTCCGTGCAGACCAGGACATATAACCAACAAATAAAACACACAATCCATTTCCGGCCAGTGCATTTAAAAAAAAAAAAAAGAATTAAAACCAATGCAGGACCTACATCTCTTGCCATATAAGTTTACGAAAGCGAATTTTAAACCAAAGATATCAGAACCAGTCTCAGAATGCAATTATGCTACTGTCTTTTATATAAGCTGTTGAATAAACACATCCACCCCAGATTTCTAAGGAAAAATTAACAGGAAGAAAATAAATATCAAAATAAAACAAAACAAAACAACCCCAAAAATTGAGAATACAGAAGGATTTTCTATTTTTGCTTTATTCCTCCTTTATAACACGTTTTCAGCTATAACATCTAGGATGATTAATCACAGGTAACTACATCTCCAATGAGAACAAGCACCTCTGAAGATCATATAACATTTTAATGACATTTTTTCTTAATTTATTTTTTCTTAAGGATTTTTCTAATATTAGGAGACAGGACAACAGAGTCCAAGTAAAATGCAAGAGAACTACATAAACTTGAAATGAAAAACAAAAT